AGTTAGAAAAAAAATTGTATTCAGTATAAAATGTATTTGTATGTTAATATTTTGGAGGGTGGGGAACGGATTAATTCAATTCCCTTTATTTCTTATGGGAAAAATCGCTTAGACTTACGATCCGTCTCTGGGAACGGATTAGCATCGTAAGTCGAGGCCCCATTGTACTTTTAAATCTTACACGGTACCTTAACTCATCCCTCATTGACTCGCACAATGGGGTCAGAAATGGGTCAATCTTCCCTGATTGACATGTGCATCTGAAGGGTTAATAACAATCCACACATGAAGAGAGGCATGGAAACACCTGGAGCAAATTCTAGAATATAGAATGAGTTCAGAAGCAAATGGCCTCCACAGAACTAAGTCCAAGGATGGTTTTAACTTACCAGAATTATAATAAATCATTAACCTGTAACTTGAAGAGCATCAGCAGAATTGAAGTGTGGGAACCAAGCATTGACATGACATGGCAGGCTAAATGACTGGACACATTATCTGCGGGGGGGGTTGGATCAAGCAGTAAGTGTGTAGCTATCGGGTGGCACAACTGGTGGATCATCTCAGTGTCTTGTCTTCTGTGTTATGTTTACCTTGCTGTTGTCTTTCTTAACATTTCTGGTAACCTTTCCTTGGTCTAAGTGATCTTGTATCCTCAGCTCCTAATGCCTCCAGTGTTGACCTTTGGTCCCCTAGCTTACAATGACTCCCAAGGGCCTGGCTTGGACTATTACTGGTTGAAGCTATTCATGCTGCATAGCAACAACGAGCCTCCATAGGAGCCCCTCCCTAACAGAGTATTAATTTTGCATGTCATTCTATTTACACTATACAAAATACATCTACACTTCCATAAGCATGAAATTATACTTATTAAAGATCAGCAGTCGTTAGCACAGATGGCTCACAACCAATTTGATTTGAGTTCCAGTTACCAGGCTGGGTGAGATGATTCGGCACATTTCTATAAACAAAATGTCACCTAGCAGTAAATAGGTACCTGGGAGCTAGGCAACTGTTGTGGGTTACATGCTGTGGAAGGTCATTCATTGGCCCAAAATGACCTTGATAAATCTAACAAGCTTCTTGTGCCTGGCTTCTTCGTAAACCTGTCCTTGAATCTCGTCCTTTAGTTTTCTGCACTCATCTCCGACTTCCCTATAACAATCCCCTCTCTCTCTCTCTCTCTCTCTCTCTCTGAACTTCGATCTGCCCTGGCCCTCTGCAGTTCTACGGTGGCGGACTTCGATGGCATTCATTATGAGATGCTTCGCCATTTCCCGCCATGTATGTCTCGGTATTTACCGAGTCTGTATAATCGGATCTGGGAGTCGTCATTAGTCCCTGAGGACTGGCTCTGCCGTTGTCCTCCTTGTTTGAAAACCAGGGTCTCTGGGGACTTCCCCTAAGGACTTTTGCCCTATTGCCCTCACGAGTTGTGTCTGCAAACTCTTTGAACGTATGGTTAACGTTCGTCTGATGTGGTTCTTAGCACACTATCACCACCTCTCCTCCTTCTCAATTTGGTTTCCGCAAGTGCCACAGCACAACAGATGTCCTGATGAACTTGGAGGTCTATATTCGTACTGCTTTTGCTGCAAAGACCTCCGTTGTTGCCGTCCTTTTTGACCTGGAAAAGGCTTATGACACCATTTGGCGAAATCATATTCTGTCCCAACTTCATTCTTTTGGCCTTCGTGGTAATCTCCCTCTCTTTCTCCAAAGCTTCCTCTCTCGTCGTTCCTGCCATACCATGTAGAGGCTTGGTACCACTCTCTCTGCCTCTTTTCAGCAATACAAAGGTGTGCCGAAAGGTAGTGTTCTGATTCTGACTGTGTTCTGAGCGTTTCTGCCCGAAACGCTGCGCGTGCTAGTGGCTTTACAAGACTGTAATTACCATATTTGTATCCTCACATTCCTTATGTACATTCTTGTATATTCATAAATAAATAAATAAATAAATAAATTACTATTCTTGTTTTTCTGGTTGCCCTCAATGGTCTTCTTTCCTCTCTTCCTTCTGGCGTCTTCTCCGCTCTCTATGTCGATGATCTTACCCTTTGCTGTCGGGGTGATGATTCACCTCTCCTTCAACGCTGGCTTCAACTTGTGATTGATGCCGTATCATCTTGGACCACCAATCATGGCTTCAGGTTCTCTACGTCTAAGACTTGTGCTATGACTTTTACTCGGAAGCGTGTCATTCTTGGTCCTTATCTATAATAATAATAATAATAATAATTTGTATTTAGGTAATGGTACATACATAAAGAGATTTTACAAAGTTTGTTGGCTTTATAGATAGAGCTAGTACATACAATGCCTAAAGCCACTAATTACGCAAAGCGTTTCGGGCAGGAAAAAGCACTAATGACTAAAGCTTAAAACTAATGGGTAAAAAGAAAAAAATGCGTTGAGTACAAATAAAAATAGAGGTAAAAGAGGGGGGAGCATTGTTGAAAAAGCAGCACAAATACAATTACAAATTATTACAGAAAATTACATTCAAACAGCGTTGATTTGAAAAACAAAAAAAACAAAAATCATACATGGGTTGACAATAGAGGGGTAAGGTAGGTTACAGGGAATTTATTAGGTATAGCTTCGTTTTTAACTTAAACTGGTTGAGAGAGGTACAGTCTTTAACATGGTTGTTATCTGTCTCTTTATGGTCACCCCATTGTGTACAAGGATTCCGCTAAGCTTTTGGGGTTGATTTTTGGCACTCAAAAATCAAGTCTTGGTCGCCCCATATCTCTTACCTCTGAGTTGAATGCTCTAAGGCCCTTACCCTTCTTCAGGTGTTGCCCCATACTTCTTGGGGACCAGATAGGCGCACTCTCCTCGCTTTACATTCCTCTCCCATCCTGTCTAAACTCGATTATGGTTGCCCTGCTTACTCGTATGCTTCTCCTTCTATTCTTCGCTGTCTTGATGCTTTGCACCATACTGGGTTGCGCCTCAGTTCTGGTGCCTTTCGTTCGACTCCCGTCCTCGGCTTGTATGTTGACACTGGCTTCCAATCTCTCCAGGACCGCCCTGATTGCTACTGTCTTCGCTATCTTGCGCGGTCCTTGCAACATCCTTCCTCTCGCCTCTGTCGTGCTTTAACTTTTACCCCTCCTGCGGATCCTTTTCCTCTTCACCATCTCCCTCTTTCTGTCCAGTTATCTCGCTTACAGGATTCTCTTTCAGTTCGTATTTCTAATATTTCTCCTCGTGTTGTTCCTGCTTTGCCCCCCATGGAGAGTCCCCCTTCCGCAGTTTCGTACATCCTTAACCCACATCACTAAAGCTTTTCCCATCCTATGGTTCTGAAATGCCTTTTCCTCGAGTAGTTTTCTTCACACTCCCACTCCGTTTCCATCTTCACTGATGGGTCTAAGTCTGCGGACAGTGTAGACTACTCTGCTGTTTTTCCTGGCAGCACTTGTATGTCACTTACCTCCGGAGACTAGCATCTTCACAGCGGAACTTTATGCTATTCTCTCTGCTCTTTGTCTCCTGCTTTCTCATTGTCAATCTTCCTTTGTAGTTGTTGTTGACTAGCATAGTGCCCTCATGGCTCTTGGGTCTTTTAATCCGGTTTATCCAGTGGTTGTTGAGATACAGCATTGGCTGTTTCTTATTCACAGTAAATTTAAGTCGGTTGAGTTTTGCTGGGTTCCCAGCCATATTGGTGTCTCTTTAAATGAGTGTGCAGATGCTGCCACTAGGGAAGCTGTCCGCTCTTGTCACATCTCTCGTAACAGTATTCCTTATTCCGACTTTTACCCAGTTATTCATTCCTCCATCCTTACCCGTTAGCAGGCTTGTTGGTCCTCTGTTACTGGTAACAAATGGCGTACTCTTAAGAGTTCTGTGTCCCCATGGCCGTCCTCCTACCATCGTAACCGGCAATGGGAAACAGCTCTGGCGAGGTTGCGTATTGGCCATACTCGCTTAGCTCATGGTCACTTAATGGAGCGCCGCCCTGCTCCTTATTGTCCAAATTGCAATGTCCCTCTCACGGTCGTGCATATCCTTGTTGAATGTCCTGACTTCTGGGACGAGCGTGTGTCTTGTTTTCTGATCGTTCCCCGCGGTTGCTTGTTCCTCGATAGAATTCTTGGTGAATCGGATACTTTTGATATCGTTCGCCTTATGTGTTACTGTTCTCGTATTGGCATCCTTGGTAATATTTAGCGCTCTCTGATTATTCCACACATTTGATGGTGCTACATAGCATTCCCGGTTTGGTGCCTTCTTTTGATAATCACTTACCTACTTACGTCTTGTGCCTGGTAATGAGAAACCATAATCAAAGGTTCTTGGCAGCCTCCAACCACAGACTACCTGACACTTACAATAATCCATATAAATTGCCAACATGCAGTATATTTGTGGCTGGGAAGTATTGAAAGTATAGTTTTAAGAATAATAAATTGCGGGATTTATCAGACACCTGTTCGAACTACCCTATGAATATTTGTTGACTTTGATTATGCAACATTTAGGCCACTTGAAATGTAAAATACTACCCAAAATCTTTCATGCAAGTATAAAAAATGTTTGGCATACAACAGTCATATTGCTAAAGTTTATGACTAGACAACATAAATTTTTATAGAAGCTAAAACCTACAATACAAAATCTCTATTATGAAGATCAACAGTGAACTTGCAGTAAAACAAATATAGCGAATTATGACATCTTCATAATACAGTGACGCTCAATCGAGAGATTGCAGGATTCATAATTTATTTTTAGGAGACCCACTGTTAAACCCATCTCCATCTTCCCCTATCTACATCATAATGGGCAGTGAGAAATGACTGGTAAGGTTACATATTAGCCATACATGTTAAACTTGCAGGCACTTAGTGGAGCCTGCATTAGCTTGGTGCCTTCTCTTGATAATTACTTATTTCCCACATCTAGTTTTGTATTGAATTAGTCTACAATAATATTTAACTTACTAATATAGTTTTTTTTTTTTTTTCCAAAAATTATATCCTCAGATTGGAAGCTGTCCTGTCTCAGCTCCCAGAATTCAGCCAAGTATTCTCGTGCTCTAAGGATTCCCGTCACTTTCCACATCGGCTATGTGCCCAGCTCCACTGACCTTTGAAGTACCTGTATATTTTTTCTCTGTGACTCGTGTTCAGAAATACTGAAAGGTTTGGTCATATGAGTCGTTGTCAGGAAAATTGCAAAGTGGCTGAAGTGTCTGTACCTCAAGCATATTCTATATACTGTATGTTGTATAATTGTTAAAACAAATTGCTCTTTAGTTTGCAAATGTTATTAAAAAAAAATGCAACATTTTATTTGTGGAAAGAATGATTTCTTTTAGTTTAATTATAGATATGGTTATTAAAGATATCATTTCATTTGCAGTTACAGTATTAGGAATGTGACACCACCCATTGCTAAGTAATACATTAAATAACCTCTTTTCCTGCATTAATGAGAGAAGAGATGTAGCCGAGGAGAAATCATCATTTCCCAGCTTAACAGTTATTAAGCTTCTATCTCCATGAAAGTGGGAATGTGATAATTATTATTTTGTTATTTTTACATATATTTTTTAATGTGATGTGCCACATAGAGAAATTTGAAAATGGATTAAGATTTTGTTTGTTTTAAAGACCTAATGGATTTGGTGCAGATGCTTGAGTTGTATGCAATAAATGTTGACAACACACACTTCCCAAGCCCTTCAGTTGTGTTCAGAGAGTGCCTGCTCGTCAAGATGGATGTGGGTGGGGGTATGTGTGTGTAATTACAAAGTGTAGTTACAGAATGAGAGCTACGCTTGTGGTGCGTCCTGTCTTCCCAGCACACTTTTTTTTTTTTTTTTGTCATATAATGCTTCAAAATCATCAGTAGTTTCAGTCTTCACCACTCACTTAACCTTTTCCAACTGTCTACCTCTGTGTTTGCAAAAGAGTGGTAGACGGGTGGAATAAGCTACAATGACTAAGAAAGTGGTGGAGGCCAAAACCGTCAGTAGTTTCAAAGCATTACACGGTGTTGGGACGACAGGACACCATGAGTGTAGCTCATCCTGTATCTACACAAATACGTGTGTTTGTGGGTTTGTACATACCCTGGAAAAATGAGGAACACGTTTCTCTCAAATATGTCCATTAGAATTGAAATTTAGCCTGCTTAGATTTTTGTACTATTAAAAGGATTTAAATTTTACTTAGGTAACAATTTAAAATGTTTTATTTCTTGGAACAGAAGTAAAAATGTATATGGGGGAGGGTCAGACAGAATACACAGTACAGTACATTGTTAAATAATTACTATGTACAGTTAATATGAGCTACAGTTTTCAGTAGCTTCTGTTGATAGAATATAAGCTGTGTTCATTTTATAAATATTCATGATGGTGTGGTTGTTCTTCCAGCCTTTTCCTTCTTTTTGGGTAAAAATACTGCTTAGCTTAAAATTTTATTATAAAAGGAGGAAAAGACACTATAGCAATCACAGTTAGTAATTAAAAAAATGGCAGAGCAATCACAGCCAATACTTTTTTGTACAACCAGAATTTTAAGGGTCCATTATCATCATGGTTGTGTGAATATGGAAGCCGCATGAATGCATAATGAGGTCTTTGTCAGCTGCTGTACTAAATGCTGTCCTTGGTGGTCTTTGTACTTGAGCAGACTATGACAATACAGAAAGCAATAACAGATTAACATGTACCAATGTTGTCTAAATAATATTTTTTCAAGTTTTATTTATTTCAGATTCTTGAAAATTACAGCAGTATCACATAATAACAAGTATCTAAAGTTATAACCGAGATATAAATCGCTTACTACAATATATCAATTAAACAAAGAAATTACACAAATTTTCTGTGTCTTTGTTTAAGGTTACAATATTACATTTGAAAAGCTTACATTGAAATTAAATTTGAGTTTTTCCTATTACAACCTATATTTTATGAATACAGTAGTTCATTACATGAAGACTTAGGAGCAGATTAATGTGCCAGTTATTTGCATAATTTACTCATAGCATATAATCTAGCAATGGAATATTAGTAACCTAACTGAACCAGTGTAGGATTTCTTGTGAATGGTGAGTGTATATATGTATGTATATGTGTGTTTGTGAGAGTATTTTTGTGTATGTATGTGCACGTGTATGTTTGTGTGATGGGTTACAAATAAAATGCCCATTTAAACAGTCAGATCCTTACAAAATATAATAGAAAAGGTGATAGAGACCATTATTAAACATTTGGTGTTGTACAGATTTGTATGCAAGTGTTTGTGTGAAGAGGCGATGAACATAGGCTGCCAGCAACATGTCATATTGCATTGATATGTTAACAAATGATAATGAAATATAATAGTTTAAATAGTTCACAAGTAAAGAAATGAAGCAGTGATTTTTCCTGTTTTCTTCATTTCTGTTTTTCTTCTAATGTTTTTAGTACTGTACAGCTCATTACGTTTATGCTGAATAATGTGTTCTGATTGAGAAATACAGATATTACGGTTTGGCATATTGTCAAACATTAATTTTTTTATCAATGAAGATTTAATTTTTATTTTCCTGCATATATCTGTATTTCAAGTATAAAGAACTTACTGCATCTAAATAGATTTTCTTTAATTTTTGTAAATAACCATATTTGAAGAGCAAGAATATGTAGTTAGCTTTACATACAATGATAGTAGCCAATTATTGGTTTAATGGGCTGTGATACCACATGCAAAATTATATTGTATTAATATTATATTTAATGGATAAGGAAAGTGGCAATAAAATATTTAACTATAAAATACACACAGTACTCTTTTTATTTTATATTAAGGAAACTGCTTTGAAAACTTTAGTTTTACTTACTACAAATTTGATTGCAATGTGCAGTGGTTAAACGTGAAGCTTCTATACATTAACTCAAACTACACAATGGCAAAGTTTAAGTTTTTGTATTCATATAAGGTGGTTAATAAGTTTTAAATCTGGTATGAAATAATAATTTTTGTATAACTGAATTATGCTTGACATCAGTAGTTTCATTTGTCATATGACTTTACTCCTGCTAGTTACATTTTAAAATATAAATCATTCTTATATATTTTTGTTTGATATCATTAGCATATCTTCGGTGGTCTTTTAAGTCATAATTGTTCCTGATTGTGTGTATCAGGGAAAATGGGAAAAGATCAGGATAATACCTTTGAAATTAAATTTAAATTTTTATTTTACTATCCTTTCTAAGATAGATGTGTTCTATTACATTCTTGGAATCAGAGTAGATGCATATTTATAATAAACAATGAAAGGTTGAAAACTTTACAGTATTGACAGCTTATCTGGAAGATCCCCAACACTGCAGTGACCTGTGACCCACCATATGTGACCATTCAGAACCATTTAAGCTATTTTTATACATTAAAATACAGAAATCTTTACACACAACTTCATATCTGATGAAATGTTGTTTATATACCTGTGTATTGGTGATGCAGTTAGTGGCTGTGCTTTATTGATCTTGTGCTAAAAATATTTCTTAAATGTTTATGATCATTATGTTGTGGCCTCCCATATTACGTTGTAAATGTAATTAGTCTACATTTTTTCTGAAATGAGCTCTGCTTATAGTAACTTTTCTCACCAAGGACTAAAGAATCACAATCTTCACTATTTTCATTCTTTCCCACCTGGAACAATGTTGATGAATTGTTCATTATTGTTGGATTGATTTTCTGGTGTGGGGCATGTGTACCAGAGTATTGTATATCCATTAACTTAGTGCTTGTTTTGCCTCTATTTTTTTTGTTTGCTTTACCTTAATACTGAAATACAGTATATATTCAAGTCTAAAGTACATGAAATTTTTATCACATTTAGTCACACTTCAGAAAGGGATAAACTCTCACACTAGCAAATAAAATGTACAAATATTGACAAAAATAAATTAAACCGATTTTTAAATAAAAACAAAACATTTAGTTTAATACTAATAAAACCAAGACATTACATACCTATCATTACAACTTGCATCATTTACAACATTTTGTTTCCCCAAATAGAATAATATTTAGACAAATATTAAAATAACTTTACATAGACATTTTCTAAGAATAAAAGTGTTTTTGATAATGTACAAATATGCTGTATTTGGTTAATTGTCTTGGATCAGAATAATATTTAATTTTTTCTATTTCATTTTCGTCTGAGAAGCACGTGGGCATGCAAGTACAGACCTGCTGACTTGGTGGTTGTGCAGGACCCAGCCATTTCCATATTTTATTTCAAGTGGTGGTATTTGTCAATACACCAAAGATTTCATATTAATGGATACAGAATTAAATACTTCAGCTGAAACTGATAAAGAATAATAAAAGTTTTGGTTTTTGGTGAAAGGCTATTGTGCTGATTCAAATTAATTCAGAGTTATCCGTGAAAAGAAATTGTGTGGATTGTTCTGCCACTACTTGAACATGACTCGTGTACACTTAATTCCAGTAATTTATCTAACCCTTGGCCTGTGACTTGTCTTATGCCATATATTAAGGCTCCAAATACCTTGCCTTACATCATATGATGTACCATATTATAGAAATTCAAGAGAACTTAGTTTTGCTTAAAGTCTTATCATTACCAAGATTTATCATCTTCCTATTGTTATGTAATAAATAACTTTTCATGTTAATATACATAAAAATCATTAATTAGAAGAAAGTTTTGATTATATAGTATCATTGTGCCTGCAAATATATATAAAATAAAAAATTAGGTTTAATACCCATACAGTATTTAGTTTTTGTTAATCTTTCAAGAAAACATCAAAGAAACTGGCAAGTCTTGATCATAATTTCAGGAACTAATATCAATATCAGAATTTAATTAATATTAAATTCTGTTTATCCAAGTTAGTACCGATATAGATAGAATTTTTCAATATTCTTTAGTTTTTCTATATTTTTCTGGGGGGAGCCCCGTCGGCTCCCCGGAGCTTTACCGGCTGATATGCTAATGTCAGACTTTGGCATCAGTCATGTGTATGGAGTTCTTGGGCCTACCGGGGACCACGAGCCAGAACCTGGCCCCCTCAGAGAGGCAAGGGGAGCAATGGCCTATAGAAACCCCCGTGTGGTTGGAAGCATTCTATGTCTGCCATCGACCGGGTCAAGCATCCAGAAAGGTAAGCATTCCAAAACAAACCCCTATTCTGGTGAAAATTGCTACCTAAGCCGAACTAGTGAATAGAACTCTTCAACAGAAAACAAGGAAACTAGTATGACGTCATACGTCACCGCGCCGCTGTCTGCGCAGCTCCCCCCTCCCTGGGAGGGGGAAGGGGGAGCCCCAGACCTCCCACGCCGGCTATCCACCCATCAGTTCTGAGGCTGATGCTATAGGCAATGGTTATGTGCTCCGGCTCCAGTGGTTGTTTCAGCACTGTACCTAGAGTGTGGTGTCTGTTTTCTAGGTGGTGCGTGAGCCGGGAGTGATTCTTCAGTACTCGGGCTGCATGCGCCTAGGGTTCCCTTCCCTAGGTGCCCTGTAAGTACTGCCCTTGGGGCTTGGGGCCACCTTCCACAAGTTCCTTGGGTCCTGCCCCTGCTTGGCCGTTTACTGCTTGGTTTTCGGCCGCTCTTTGTGTGCTCGGGTGTTCTGTCTCCCTTGTTCGCCTTAGAGTAAGGGGCAGTGTTTGCACTGGTGGGGCGCGGGGTACTGTGCAGCTTGTCTTTACCAATCATAGCGGCCGGCTCTGTTCCGCTTGGGTACGCTGTCCTCTTGCGGGGTTTTCTTTTTCTTTTGTTTATATACCTGGTGGGGGGGTCTGCCTTCGTTCTTGCCCCTTGTGTCCCTTGTGTTCTGAGTATTTCTGGTGGTACCCCCTGCTAGGTCCCCGTGAGTGTACACGTTCCGGGGGTTCAGCTCTTAGAAAGTTGTTTGGTAGCTTGGGTGGCGGTTAGCAGTACCCTGCCTGGGATTACCTGAGCGCGAGTCCTCTTAAAGTAAACGCTCGGGACCCTGGGAAACCCCTGGGGGCGCGCGGGTCCGATGGATGTGACCCCAGAGCCCCCCCCTCGCTTCCAGCGAGTTTGAGGGTTGCTCTCACCTTTTGTCTCTGGGTGACTCTCTGTTTTGCCTCCGTCTGCTGCCTGTGGGGTCGGTGACACCTTCGACCCGGTGTCCTGCGAGTTTCGTTGCTTGTTGTGGCTCGGTTACCCAGTTGTGCTAACAAAGCGGGTGCGGGCAGCAGGGGCGTTGCACTTGAGCCTTGGTGGTGGCAACGTTCTCGTGGTTTCCTCCCCGGGAGCCCCGGGGCTGCCCCATTGTAGTTCGTTTTGGGACTTGGGGGTGTTGGTTGCTTCGGTTCCATCCACGCCCCCTTGTCTTTCCCCTGGTTCACCCTTCCTGCCTGCATCCGGTTCCTTACCGTCTGTAGGTTCAGGGCGGGGTGTTTGGTGGTGTTGAGACTCGGGCAGTCTCGGGGAATTCCCCTTCCGGGGTAGTGACGGGGGCATTTGGGCCTGTTCCTCCAGCCGTGTTGTATGAGTCTGCCAGTGGGCTCCCTTCCTTAGTGTTTTCACGGCTGCCCCGGTTTTCTGGTACGGCCGGGGCTTTGGGGGAACGGCTCGGCCCCGGGGCCTGTCGTGTAGGTTCCCGGGGCTGGGGAGGGGCTGACTTGGGGGGGCCTTGGCCCCGTTAGACCCCGTGGGGGTTTTTATCCCCCTCTAGGCGGGGCTTGTGGTTACGCGGAGTGGGGTCTTTCCTCCCCACTCGCCGTACGTGCTGTTGGATGTCGGCCCCTCCCCGGGCTCGGTTCCCTGGCCTTCGAGTCGGTTGGTTCCGTCCTGTGGGTGGATGTTTCCTCCCCCGCTTTTTGGGACAGTGTTTTTGTCATGTTTCCCCGTTCGATGGGGTTCTGCGTGACTTCTGATCTCGGGTGCGCCTTCGTGTGCCTTCGGGACTAGTGTTGGCTTCTGTGTTCTCGAGGGTACGGGAAGGTTTTTCGCTACTTCCCGCATTATTGGAACGTCTGTCGGCTCCTAGTACTTGTCGCCCTGTTGGGCTACTTGTCGCCCTGTTGGGCTACTTGTCGCCCTGTTGGGCTACTTGTCGCCCGGTTGGGCTACTTGTCGCCCGGTTGGGCTGCTTGTCGCCCGGTTGGGCTACTTGTCGCCCGGTTGGGCTACTTGTCGCCCGGTTGGGCTGCTTGTCGCCCGGTTGGGTTACTTGTCGCCCGGTTGGGTTCCTTTTTTTTTTTGTGTGGGCTCTTTGCTTCTTTTGGCCGGTTTTATTGTTCCTGCTTCCTCTTTTGGCTCCTTTTCTCGTGCAGTAGTCCTGGCTGGCGCCTTCCCGCAGGGAGGGTGTGCGGTTCGGCCAGCGTGTTATGCGCATGCGTCGTGGAGTTTGTTTTGGTCTGGGCGGTGTTTCAGTGCTGGGGTTTTGCGCCCTTTTTTGCTACAGTGCTTCGCCTCTCGTTCTTCTCCCTGGCTGCGGTATGTGCCCCTTCGCGCCGGGGGTGTCCTGGTTCCCAGTTGTGGGGAGGACACCGCGGTTTTCCCTGTGTCATGGGTGTGGACCGCCTCCTTCGCCTCTCCCTGTTCTCCTGCGGGTCCGGCAGGGTCCGGCTCTGGCGTCTTCACCTGGCGGTGCTCCCAAGTTCTTCTGGGCACGATTGAGTCGTGTCAAGTTCGAGCCACCATTCGCCAGGTGAGTTCTGCGGTCTGGCGTCTTTTGGCCGGGCGCTGGATGCGGCGGTGTTTATATACCTGTCTTTATTTAGGTATATTTTTGTACGATTGAGACCGTTCGCACACCAGTGACTGTCCCTTTATCACCCCTTCCTGTCCCCCTTATGTGCATGTCCAACCCATGCTGGAGTCATTCAGGGGACCCTCCTTTTTTTAATGTTGTGAGGTGTGGGGGTTGTAGGGTTGGTTCTGTACTCACCTGGTGAGGCTCCTGGCTGTGCTTGCAGGATTTGAGCTCTGGCTCTTGGATCCCGCCTATCTGGTAGAACTTGCGGCATAGTACCAGTGGAGTGCAGTGGTGCTATTGGCACTTTTGGGGAACACTGTATTACCATCAGTGGTCGGTGCTTGTTACACGACCTACTTGCGAGCATAAGCCTTCTTGCTGATTCGTCCATGGACTTTCAGGGTGCACTGGCCTGTTTTCGTATGGCAGTTCCGGCCCGTCCTGGTTGTGGGGGTATGTGGGCCGGTGGACTGCTCCTAGCAGCTGCCTGGTGGGCCATCCTCTGGCCTGTCTGGCCTGACCTTGGGCCGGGCTTCAGGTGTACAAGAGCTCCCAGTACCTCATCCAGCAGGTATCGAACGGGGTTTCTTCACCGTCGGTCGCCTGGTGCAGGTTTCTGGGCCTGCAGGGTTTTGTCGTGTCTCCGTTGGCCCTGTCTGGGGTCTGCCTGTTCCGTTCTCTGCCTTTGCAGAGGGGAGTTGCTATTTGCATGTTGCAGTGGTGCCTGTTGCTGCTGCTGCACGTGTGCATTTGTACCGTGTTTCACGGTGGCGTGTCCTTGTTCCTGTGTCCGGTTGTGGAGTGGCACTTTGCTGCCGTTTTGTGCCTGGGGATTGCGTGGGGTTTTTGTCCCTGCCTGATTGTCCACCCCTGGTTGTTCTCCTGGTTTTTTTTTTTTTTTTTGTGCTTCTGCTCTTTCTTCCTGCCTCCTCTGCAGCAGGGATGTTCTGCGTGTGTTCTTAGGCGTTGGTCAGCCTGTGTCCTGTGATGTGCTTCTTTGTCTCGGTCTGTTGCAGTTGTTCGTGCCCCTTGGTTCGGGTCCTGTTCTGGCGGCGACCCTTCCGCCTTCTTTGGTTTTCCTAGCTTGCCCTGCCGGTTGTTTTTTTTTTTTGGGGGGGGGGGGCTCTTGCGATGTCTCGCGTCGGACCCGTCGTTTCTGAACTCCTGGCGGGCTTGCATGCTTCGGGGAGTTTTTCTGTTCGGCAGACGTTCCATCTCCTTGTGCCGCCTGGGTTTCGGTGGTCGCGCCCGAGGTCTTCTCGCGGCTCCGCCTTTTTCCTGGGCTCGGGGGGGCCTTGTCGGGGCTGCTTATGTTCTGCCTCGTGGTCTCGCCTCCGGTTGGTTGTCGGGTGGCTTCGTGGTAGGTGTCCCACCTGCGTGCTTCTCTTGGCGGCAGTATGGGGTATTTTGGCGGTCCTTCCTTTTCCTGTCCCTTCTTAGGTGGTTCCTCTTGTTAGCTTGGTTTACTCTCGGCTTGGTTTTCTAGTGGGGGTTGGGGGCCGTCGTCTTGCCACATACTGTCGCCTCTTTTCGTCCGGCGCAGGCGGAGCCACTTCAGCTTGCTTTCGGTCTTGGTGTTGCTTCTGCACCGTTAGTCAGCTGTCTTGTGCGTCATTTCACCTCCGGCCGGTTCGTGCGCCGCTTGCACCATCCTGGTCTCTGGTCAGCGTGCTCTGTCTTCTCCTCGGTTGGTAGTGCCCCTTCGGTTCCGGTGTGTTTTTTCGTCGGCTCTTTCCTTTCGGCCTTTGCCTCTGGGGGTCGGTTCGCCGAGTTTTCTTGCTCCTTCGGTTTTAGTGTTTTGGTTGTTTGATGGCAGCAGTCTCCATCTTTTCTGGC